CCCCAAGAACGAAAATGAATGGAGAAAGGAAAACAGAATCCCCCTTCAGGCCCCCCGTTGGAACCTGGAAGACGTTGTACAACACGGTGTCCAGGATTCAAAGATTCCCCTACGCTAATATCTCGGCCTCTTAATCAAATTTTGTTTCTGGTGTTTGATACATCTTTATAATCACTCATGTACTCGGAGGTCGTCTGAGTGGTGTTTGACGCTTTTCATAGATACATCCTGTGAAGGAATGCGACGTTGCACGACGTTTAATGCCCTGTTCTTCTTGGCGGCTAGCCATGCGGCTGTCGCCCTTTTGCCCCCAATTCTCATGCAAGTGGGGGGCTTTTTTTCTTCTTTTTTTGGAACGGAATAATGGAGTTGAAGGCGTGTTGAGGTAATGGGCCATGTTGGGAATAGGAATCATGAGCAAGACTCACTCTACCAACCTAAGTCTCAAGGCTTGGATGAGTATAGCATATAGAGTAATTGTTAGTCGGCAAATATAGATCTGAAGCAGTATAGATTTGCTTCAACTAATCAAAAAAAAAAAACGTATACATGAAGATCTCAATTCGTATGCTCGGTGAACATTGATAAACAGCTCCATATACTCATGGGTAACCAAGGCATGTTCTCTCAACTTTTATGAAAGCTATATTCGTTAAACTACCTGGGCTCGGAAGTTTGCTAATCTCCAAGGGGTCTATAGCATCATTACAAGGTCAATTCCCTCACTGTTGAACGGGAATGCTGGAGGCTCGGTCTCAAACGCAAAATGTTTCCTTAGAATACCTCGGACTGTCACTCGAGATGTGGCTTGAGTGAGCCTCCTAGCCATCCCATCCGTAAACTTGCATCTTGAATGGTTTCCCTGGTGTTGACGGCCCAATGGTGTTTGAAGGAGAGACAAACTGAGGTTGATTGAGTGGACCAGGAGGTCAATACATTTCAGTGAGTGACTTGCCAGGCTTAGATTGTGTTTTGTGTCAACGCCCAAGACTTTCCTAAACGCGCACTACAACTCAAGACAGAGAAGTCGTCCAAGAACGGCATTAACTTTGGATTGTTTGTTTACTGAAGAGGTATAGAAACCATCCAATGGCTGATTCAAGACGTGCATTGGAGGGTCGAATAATGGAATGGTTGGGCTGGTTAACGGGCTGCAGCAGCGGCAGCCAGGCTTGATACTTATTTAGTGGTGAGGGGCCCTGGCCGGGGTACCTACCGGGGGATGCTGTCAGTGGAGCGGGACGGGAGTCAAGCCGTGTTCTCAGTGGAGGACCAGCTTTCAAAGTCCCTCCCAGGCCGACCGCGAGGTCCACCAAGCGAACGGCCAGGTCATGAGATAGGTACGGAGTACATCTGTATAGGGCTCGGAGGGGCCTACGATGACCTGCTAGCTCAGGTACTGGGTACCTTAAGACAGCTGCCATTTCAATAGGCCGTAGGCGACTCGGAGTGGAGGACCTCCTCTTCCTTTCCACCCCCAAGCGCTTCCACGAGCGAGCGAGCGAGAGCACAGCACAGCACAACACAGCACAAGCAAGACCTGGACTGGGACTGGGACTGGGACTGGGATTAGGCCGGGGCCAGGACTAGGACCAAGAGCGAGCAAGACAAGACAAGACAAGACCTTAGACAAAGACACAAACACCCCGTCATCATCACCACCACCAGCCGCCTTCTTCTCCTCTGGCTACCTCCGACTCTTTCTATTTTCTAGGCTCTTTTCTATTGACGTTTCTACGGTATTTGTTCCCCTCGAGGCGTCTCGGCTTGGGTCTACTTATTCTCTTGGGATCGGCTCGGTTTTTCCCATTACATGCATACCTTTCCTCAGCCCATTCTATCTTCTAGTCTATTCGTCCACTCCATTTGTTCTTGCATTCAATCCACTCCAATCCAATCCAATCGTCCTCCAGGCTGCGCTCACTTCCTCGACCCTGACGTCTACCACCTCCTACTCCTGAGCATCGCTTCTCTTTTTATGACGTTCCGACCACGATTTGAATGAAAGACCTGGAAGCATTCGACCGACTGTCCTTCGCCAACGCTCGTCTTCTCTCTTTCTATCTGACGGTGCCCGATCAAGCGCATCTGTCTGTTTGCGGCATCACAACCACCACCACGGTCGCCCGAATTAGTCTTTCGTCTCAGCCCCCGCCTCCGTTGTTGGCGACTGTTCTTTCATAGTCTTCAGGATGATGAGCTTCGATGGTGGCACAGCTTACGCCGAGTCCGACGCCGACGACGAATACGAGCGAAGCATGGGCGACCACTCTCCTATCACTAACTCTGAACATTCCCCCATAGACTCCGAGCTCTCAACCTCTGCAGAGCATACTCCTACTACATACGGCCACCGCAGCAGCGCCGACCGTCTCCCAGAAACCATCATCACCGAATGGACCGTTGAGGAATGTGCTGATTTCATTGGCACCATTGGTCTTCAACAGTATGCCGATCGCTTTATAGGTGCGTCTTAACCCAAAGCATGCCATCTCATCTCCTCGACAGGTGGTGCTGCAGACATTGGAGGAATTATTGGGATAGCTAACATTTGATTACCTGCAGAAAACGAGATTGTTGGCGAGGCCCTGGTAGCGTTACAACATGACGATCTCAAGAGCATGGGCATTGCTAGCGTGGGACATCGTCTAACGATCCTCAAAAGCGTATATGATGTCAAAAAGGCTCAAGATGTCCCCATTGAGAGCGACCATTACCTACCCCTATGTACGTTATCTCCGTTTCCCCTCTCGGGTGGGCTGGCCTGATTCTAACATGTAACCCCTGCAGCCGCCGACGCCGAAGCGCAATATGCTACCGCAACTATCAAGGACATCAAACATCTCGTCGAACAATTCCGTCTCCGCGATGAACGCATGAACCTACTCGAACAGGATCTGCGACGAATGACAGAAGATTTCAGACGATTGCGAGAGGATATGCTCCCGGCCTTGCGCTTGGTCAAGGATGCGCAGCAACCATTGCCCAACCTGAGTGGTAACAGCCAGCAGGCCTACGGCTACGAAACAACCATATCGCCCCCCGCACCGACACCACCCCCAGGCTCGAGTCAATCTGGAAGCTCAGTCAAGCGACAATATTCTACCCGCAAGATTCTTATCGGAGCTACACCGAAGAATGCATCACCCACTCAATCTACGCACGAAAGGTCAATAGCGGAGACTGCGCTGGACCCCGCAAGTGCTGCAGAGCGAGCTGTCCTATCGTCTTCCCATCTTGCAGCTATGAACGGAGGTGGCCAGGGCTCGTCCTCCCCTTCGTATCCCTCACCCAACATACCCTCCCCGACATCTCCTCAGACCCACATGTCCGCTACGACCCTCGCCTCTCGATCCTACCGCAGTGAAGCACCGACACCCTCCACACGAACCACCTTCAACGACGAAGGTCACGCCAACGCAGTCTATGCCTCCCGCGAAAAGGCACCGCAAGGGCCGCCCCGCCGACGAGAAACCCCTGTACCTGATACACCCAGTCAGAGCAATGCTTCAGTCGAGATCTTCAAGTCTTTCCGTGTCAGTATGGAAGATCCTTGCTACAAGGTTCTTCCTGCTGCACTAAAAAAGTACCAGATCAACGCTCCATGGGACCAGTATGCTCTCTATATTGTGTACGGTGATCAGGAACGTTGTCTGGGTCTTGAGGAGAAGCCATTGATTCTGTTTAAGCAACTGGACAAGGAGGGCAAGAAACCCATGTTTATGCTACGAAAGACAACAACAGCACCCTTAGATGGAGAGCCAGGAAGCGCAGGGCTGGGCAGCACCTCAAGAGGGGCTCCAACAGGCTACGATCCCCCAGGAGGCATCATCTAGACTCTACTCGGAATCGGTGCCTCGTGGTGGAGTTTCTCAACGACCCAAACACAGAGCATCGGACGGCGCCTACCGAAACCCGAGCCCATTCGAGTGGTGAGCACGAGACACATACTGTACGCCAGACATGCAGGGTCGGCACAAACCACCACCTACAAGGCCGCACGATGCTGGACCAAGGTCTAGAAGCGTTTCTTGGAAATGGGACAAGGCAAGAGTCGGCAAAGTCAACCCTGTAGAGGTGTCTGCATGACGTTTGGTGATGTTTGTTTCAGTGGGTCAGCGTTTCTGAGCTGAGGTGGTGAACCTGAAACACCAGCCATGGGCTATTATGGGGCAGAACGCCAGACAGTGCTCTGGCCTTCCCGCGTTTGTCTTGGGCTGAATCACATTATTGATAGATTCGGACACTAAGAGGGGGAGGCTTGTTTGAAGACCAGGGTTCAGAGAGTTGCAGGGCTGGGCAACTGAAGATTTCCGACCGGAGGGAGAGGAGAGCTTAGAGCAACTCGGTTCCTCGGCTGGTTCCACTCGAAGCTACCTACCTACATATTTGCTTTTGTCAAAGGGATGTTTGCTCATGGAGGCAGGACGTACGTACGTACGTTGCTGTGGAAGTGAACGATCAAGCCACGGACATGCATGCAATGCAGCCTTTGTTTTTCATCAAATTCATCATGGGGACATTGCGGGTTACGGCGTTTGAAAAGTCGACTAACGTTGGGTGTTATTCTGCAACAAGCGGCGGGAATGCTCATCGTCGTTCTATTTTTGGGGGGCTTGCATCTTAATTTCAGCGTAGCACAGCACAGCACAGCACGGTACAGAACAGAACAGAACATGGAGGAAGGGTTGGTAATGATGGGCGAGAAGCACGGGTTGGATCGGGTCATGTCAGGTCAGGTCAATGTACAAACAGTGTTAGGGTAAAGGAGCCAGAATCTTTGACAGTCGGATCTTGTGGACACTGCCTTGCATGAGAGCAGAGCTTATGCTGGCGGTTGATGAGAGTTGGACATGATGTTAGAGCTTTGTGACAACAGACAGACAGACAGACAGACTCTTGTGTGGAGCAGACCAAGAGTAATCTCTTTCAAGTTAAAGTTGAAGTTGATAGACAACGAGCATGTCTTTCTTTCATGGTCCCTCTTGCGAGCACATTTCTTATTCCAATATCAAGCCCTGGGCATAGGTAGTGGTAGGTTCTGGCTCCCACCTCACATACCATCGCCATTCCTCTGTAAGGTCTTCCCTCTGGCTCGCTTCAGCCTCTTCAACGAAGGCAGCCACCGCTTCCAATGGCACTCCCCTCCTCATGCATGTCTTGTCATCCCAGCTCGAATGCACGCCTACTAACGCCCCCGTCTTCCGATCAAACAATCCTGCACCGCTATGTCCCCAGTACGTCCAGCAGGTATGCTTAAGAGCGCCGATGTCACTGTTATCCTGCGGATCTTGGTTCTTATCCAGGCCACGAAAAGTGCCCTCGGTGAGAACGAGCAGGTCGTACCCTGTCTTTACACCACTGCGTTCAGCCTCGAAGTCTTCGGAGCCCGGATGGCCGATGCATAGCAGTTTAGCGTTGAACTTGGGAGGCGAGGTTGCGATACGGGCAAAGGGAAACGGCCGGCGAAGAAGTTCGGCTTTGTCGATCTGAAGTAAAGCGAGATCACGTATTGGATCCCAAGCTACCACTTTCGCTGTAACAACCTTCCCAGTGGGTGATAAGAGGACGTACGACGTATTAGCTGTGAGCTCAGAGGGCTCTTCTGCGACGCAGTGTGCACATGTGAGGAGGATACCATCGGGCGAGATGCAGACTGCAGTCCCAGCCTCTGACTGAGCAAAGACAAATGTTGCATCAAGTGTATGACATCCCTTTGGACTTGAGATGAAAGTTCGGAAGGCATCTCGGGGGATAGGAATGGTGTGAGAAGTCAGCCAGTTACGTTTGGAGATGAGGGCATCGTGTTGTTCTTTGGAGAGTCCGAGGCTGGATAAAGACGATATAGTTTCTATGTTTGGTTTGTGAGAGGAAGCGTCTGTTGTCTGATCCTTTCTTGAAGATGCTGTAGTTGAAGAGAGTGCCCGACTTGAACTTCTTGTTTGACGTGGCATATATGGTGATGAGCCGGTCAAATCAATAGTGTCAGGCATATTTTCTTTTTGGGCTCTGATTGCCTATAGAAGATTCACGATTTGAGTCAAGATATTCAGGGAGAAGTTGGACTTTCTATGATGAGAAAATGGACGAGTCCAACTCTACCTTGCCTTGGCCATATAAGTTGAGTGAGTGACTAACTAAGAACGTGCTGCTGCCTAATCATGAGAAGCATCAAGGAGTCAGCACAATCAAGCAATGTTCCGTTTACAGAAAGAATTCTACACAGAAGCTAAACTAATCTGACGTTCTTTTAGCATCCTTCAATAAGCGAGCGCGTGTATCCATTGATACCATGGGGCTTCTGGCTCAAGTTGCTTTGCCTTCCACTCATCCACAACTGTCGTATAGTCCTCTGGCCCATATGGATCTGTCATCTCAGCAAATATGCCATTCTTCCTATATATCGGTAGACCCAAGTCCTTGAGCAGCAGGTCCACATACGGAACAGCATCAAACACAAAGTCTGGAAAGCTGTGGCCAAAACCACCCGGGTATCTCCATTTTCCGAACCGACTATGAAGCACTGCCTCGTATTGGAATCGAGATACAAACTCTGGTGAAGGGTTCCGAGGGAGAGATGGAATCATATCATCGAAGAAGGCGTTCATCCATAGCGATTGGACATGGGAAACTATGGGGTTGCTGAAGTTGACTATCATCCCCACGAAAGCAATATCTCGGGTCTTGAGATACTGGCTTGACGGCGGGATGATGAAGTGATATAGCGTATACGGTGTCAGCTCTGTCGATGGCGTGATATCATCATTACTAGAGAGACCTTTGTCCTCTAGCAATGTATGATACTTGCTATTTTGCACCTTCTGTATGGGCTGGTCCTTTAGGCGAGGGAACTTGCTGAAGATCTCTTTATCGACTTGGTCCAGGAGTGATGCATAAGGGAACGAATCTTTTGAAGGCGTATGAGGCATCCCAATATCCTCAGTAATCCCTTCTGGTAGGAATCTGATAGGGGGAACATGTTTCCAACCCGTTGCACAGCACAGCACATCCGTATGTAATGTTGTGCTGTCAGACAGGTGCACTGTTTGCTTGCTCACCCGTTCGATATTAGCAATATGTATCTTGGCCAGCCCTTCCTTGACAACTTCGAAAAAGTCCTTCTCGTAGTTGAGAATTCCTATACTCGTCGCCACAAACATGGCATTAGACCAGGGCTTGAGCTTGGCCGTCTCCGGGTGAGAGTCGTATTTGTTGAGCGTAATAACGTCATTTCCAAGGATACTCCAGAACTTATCAACAATAGCTCTTCCAATGAATGTTCCATGGTAGAAGTTGCGAGTCTTGACGTAACCATCTGCTGCACCCCAACTGCACGGACTGAACCACGTTAACATTCTTATATGGGCGAGTTTCTCGAGCCACTTCTTGAGAGGCGTGACATAAGGAGGAGCATTCCAAGCAGGGCCATGGCCAGATTCTGTAGGAAGTCATTAAAGTCACTTGGCTGTGCCCTTTCGGTATTACTAACCTCGAATGACCCAGTCCACTCGAATGCCTTTGGTGGCATATAGATACACCATATCCCAAGCTGACTTTGTTCCTCCGAATACTGTCACTGATTTGGCTGTTTCATATGTGTCCTCATGATTGCGTAGGTCTTTTGCATGAAATATGGGAACTCCGAAGTCTTCCTGGCCTTGGAAGGTCGGTAGAAAGGGTTCTTAAGTGAGGCCCGTCGCGAGAACCAGTCTTCTAGCCTTGATCTTGATATGATCACCAACTTTGATGTCCCTTACCGTTAGAACCCAACCGCCGTTTTCTTGGTGCTCTGCCGTCTCGACTTTGTGCTCAAATCGGATCTTATCATATATATTAAAATGTCGAGCATACGTCTCCAGGTACCTGTGCACTATCTGGCCAGGAATATGCTGACCTGGCTTGACACCATAGGTTTCCGTGTCCATGGGGAAATCAGGGTACTGGTAGGTACCCAACATGTTGTTGGTTTTCAGGCCTGTATAGAGGCGATGTTTCGCCCAAGTGCCACCAAGCGTAGCAGCTGAATCCAAGACCGCCAGAGATTCTTCAGGGTGTAACTGATGGCGAGTCTTGGCCGCAGCCAGCCCAGCCCAACCTGATGCATGTAAGCTTGCGGTCTTTTTGCGAGTTCCTTGATGTCTCAATCGATTTGGAAGCCATTTTCTTACCTGCTCCAACAACTGCCACGTCCAGAGTTTCCATTGCCAACATGCTCTGGTCGGTTCACAACTGTTTTACAAGAGGCGATGGAGACAAATCAGCAAAATTCAGGTGTCTTTTGGGGCTGGGCATCTTTATCATATGTTCAGCTCCTCCTCAAGTCCGAGGCATGGCAAGATATGTGAGTCAGCTTACGCCGCTGTGCCATTTGTTGCATTGCATGGTTGTTCGTATTACATACACAGCCAGATATGCAAGATGCTGCAGGTTCGTGGCGTCCTAGTTGCTAGAGATGTGCATTTCTCGAATGCCATACTTTCAAGGACTCTATGTCTTCAGCGCTGTGAACAGTCGGATAACTGGTCCAGACGCTCGTTGGCTGTATTATTTAGCGTATTAGCATTGTATCAAGAGTTCATACTTTTGAATAACTATGAGTTTCCCATGCTGGTGGACGCAGTACTCAACAACACAAGGCAATAAAAGCTGTGATTTATAGACATTGAAATATTCTGGTCCACTATAAATAAATCATGCCTATTCTCATGATAAGATTCGTCGTCGTATAAGTCTTGTTGCTTAATCATAGAATAGGTAGTACGGGGTTGTATAGGGTAGTGCATTCATTGATGCGTGCAGCTGATGAGCCGTGGACCTCACCACACCAGATCTGCTGTCCGTCAGTCATAAAGACTCAAGGTAAGTTACACCTTCTAGCTCAAACTCAGAGTTTCTTATTGATCCAATCGAACTGTATTGGCTAACTAGAATTACAACCGGTGTTGTATTGCGCATATGGTTGCGTCAAAGCACATATTCATCCAGTTGAGGGTGTTGCTGCAGGGTTCATGGTTCCTGAGTCATGGCTGCAATATCACCAGCTCAACAGAAAGAATTTGCGACTGCAAGAATAAAACAACACATCCGACTTAACAACGCCATATCACAGATGTTCTATTGATGCATACATATATAGTCGTCGTTTCATTGAAAGCAACACGATGATACATCTCTGGGTAGGTAACCACATACGATAGGTATGTTGCATAGAGAACGGAGCCTATTTTTGACAATCAAAACTACCCACCACCCATGGCTGCACGCACGAGAGTCTGAATAGGAAATAAGCGGAGGTATGACATGAGTCGTGCACTGGGGAGGATACGGAGGTCAACGCTCGAAGCTCTCCAATTTGTCAAATGAATGTGGCTTCGGTAAGAGATGTCCTGCCGATGAGTATTGTACCCGTAGTTGGTCATAGTAGGGGATGCCAAGCCGGCTGGCTCCAGATAACTACTCGACTCATGGCCGAGTATAGGATGGATGATAGAGTAGGAGTCACGGCAAACCACATTGGGTGAGAACTACGAAAGTGGCTGGTTGTAATGACGGGAATGGGATGGCTAAATGGATCAAGGGAACAAGTATGTATGTATATAAAACTTCACTTATTATTGGTGTTGCCTGTCTTTGCGAATCTTGGTCTGACATCTGGCAGCACCTCATAACAGGGACCCTGCTCTGGTCCGTACGTGGATATGTAACCGAAATTGCTAGTGATGATGTTAACCACAGCAGACATGGGGCCTGGATGTTAACCGGAAGAATACTGCTGCAAATCGATGGACTAGACCCATTCGATACAGAGATCCCAAAAGTTAAATAACGAATAAACCCCTGAGCAAAGTTGATCAAGGGGCATCATCGTTCATTATCCTTGGCCGGACTAGGAATAGGTCAGGGACTGGGGGTTGACCTCACTTTACATATACATACATACATGGATGCAGGCTTGCAGGGGCCTGTCAAGCGCGGTAACGGACCCAAGTGGATATCCCGGGGTCGCAGTAAATTGCGCTGGAGCCTCTTGAAGCCGTTGATATTTTGCACTGATCAGAGTCGTCACTGATCAAGCAGGTCAAGTAGCAAAAACTAAGTAGACAAGAGCCATGTAAATCCTCAAGCCACAGGGTACATGAGGTGACGATGCGCCAATATGCTTGACGAATAGTGACAGAACGAGGCACGAGTACTTGGCCAGAGGCAATCCGGTAATAAGAACAGAATGTCACTGTCATGGTGAGCAACTGCCGTTCGAGAACAAACCCAGAATCTGGTTGCACTCGAGTCTGGGCGCCTTGCCGTATATATGCGTATGTCATATAGGACTGTATGTGAAACTTTGAAAGAGCGTAAACTCCGTGTTAGGACTTGAATGTTGGACAGATGCCGGCTGCCTGCATCTACCTCCAGTTTGAGCCACAGAATGGCAGTCGTACGAGTACAGAGTGGTCGACGGATATAGGCGCGTGTGGGCGTTGGTGTCACAGGCTAAAGGAGTAGTTCTATCAACGATTCGATCCTGGGTAGCGCCAGACATACTGTATGTGAATAGCGACATTCTTTTATCTGAGCGTCTCCAGTAGAAGGTTGATCGACAACCAGGACGCGACCAAAAGCGACAACAACAGTTCTGATGCCAACAGGATCCGAATTTCAGTTCACTGCTGAATAGGCCTGCTCTGCTCTGCGTTCTGCAAGAAGCCAGGGTTCATCGGAGCTCGACTAGACGCTCGGGCCCACAAAGTGTTCCGGATCCATCGGTTCCCCGGTTTGCTTGCAGCATTGTTTGATCCATGCAGGATATTGAATCGACATGTTCCCCTTCTGACGAAAACGACACAAATTGCTCCAAGTTCGGTGAAATATAGGGATGACCTGCATTGATTTGCAGAATGGAAAAGACACATCATCATGGAAGGTGCACAAGCCCTTGAGATAGATTGAAACCATCCCCTTCGAGTTGATGAAGTTTGAGTCTTAGTGTGTCTTGTCTCAATGTTGTCTCAAATGAGATCGTCACCGAAAATCTTCAACAATTGGGGATTCTCACCTGACATATATCAGAATTCTGGTCCCAACTTACACATCTGAGAGCCCTGTGAGGGAATGGAAGCCAATTCGAAGTTTTGGAGCATCCATGGGGGAAGGGTATTGGTCACCTAGCAAAAACCAACAGGGCAAGAAATCGTTTCTTCCCATTCCAGCTACGTGGGATCGTGAATCGTGCTAGCCGTGTATGTCAGATTGATTATGAAGGTGCTCGTTGCAAGGGCCTTTCGCCTACTGACTTATAGCCCCAGCAACAGAGGCACTGAAACTCCCTCCTGGGAGGTTCTCTGGTACAGGGCAAACGAGCCACCAAGTGTTTAAATTATCTTGGTGGAGTCGACGAGGCCCAAATTTCGTGGGTCAGAAACCAGCTCATGGCAGGTTTGGAAATGGTTATGGGCGGAGTTGGTACTCTTGGACTAGCTGCTACTTCCTCTGAAGCGAAGCGAAAGATCATCTCTTGGATGGCAACGAGTAGCGCGGGCTCTGGGTTGTCTTGGCTGGGCCCGAGCTACCAGCAGCTACTAACTACTCAAGGTGAACTGTGATTTGCTAATCATCCATGTAAATGAAAACAGACACGAGCTGCTTCCCCTGAAGGGTGCAGTTCCAGAAACCAAGAAATCGTCCATTAGCGGAGAGATTGACGGCGAGCCAGGGCCTTTGCTGCGTGTTTGGGGATGAGGAAAAGACCTGGAGTTCAAGTTTGCCCGAGTACTATGAGAGATTGTACGGAGTACAGCCTACTTTTGATAGTGATACAACTGCTGGCTGTCATTGCTTGGACGGATAACATTGAGGTATCGAAGATGGTCAAATTTGGCGGGAGATCACCTCAGTGGCTCTGGTGGATGCAGTTTTAGCAAGCGGACGCATGCAGTGGACACAATCTGGGTAGTAATCTGGCTTCGGTGGTGCGCCTTCGAGTCCTCCACCTACCCAGCTCGGGTTAAGGTCCTCCGCTCTGGGGCGAGGCTCTAGCCCTGTTTGCTGCCAGGACGACCTTGTCTCGGCCGCTCAGTGGACGGGATGAGCTTCTGCTGGAAGCTTGGGTGGGCTCAATTGGCGATGGCTAGGACGAGGTCAGGGGCTGGTTTATCTCGAATCGCTGTTGTGCTTGCAACTTGTAGGGCAACGGGAACGACCAATGGGTCTCATTGTTGTGTGGCCAGATAGAAGCATTGCTCTGACAGGGTCTCCCTCCGAGGAATTCTCATGGCAGTATGTTCGGAGATTTAAAGTCGATTGATTCGAATATTTGGCTAATTTGATGATGTAGATAGTGGAAGTTGTGGTGCGGTACATAAAGTTGATGGTGTTTGGGTGAGTGGATGAATTGAGCTTGAGCTGGAGAGGGAGGTCGGATTGGATGGAGTGGACAAAAAGGGTCGGGGCGACGGCGACGGCCGCCAGGGTTCTTTCTAGCTGCAGGTTCGTGCAGCAGAAAGCACCCACTGTAAATTGATGGCGGGGCTTTTTTGGTACCTAGGTTGAGGGGGTACTTGATGCTTGGTGGATAAATCCCCAGAGTCTTGTGTACCTGAAAACGGATGAACCTGGAGTCGACTGAGACATACTGAAAAGGCTACTGGCGTTGTGGTCAGCTGGTAAACTCTATGAGGCTGTTAAGAATTGGATTACGGGCAACGAAGATGATGACGGTTACGATTGAATCAACTTGATTGCCATCGAATTTACAGTATATGTCTACCCCTACCTTAGGAACAAGACGAGGAGCAAGTTCGATACTGCCCCAGTGGAGGGCTAGCTACCTACCTTACCTATCCTTCATCCTTCTGAACTTCAGTGGCCACCTAGGTGGTACTCTACCTAAGATACTTACTGTACTGTGCTAACTCTAGCAGTTACCTGTTAGTACAGTACCTCGAGGTAGCATTCGGCCGTAATCTGTATCCGTACCGAACCGTGCCTGAATAAGGTATGTGCATTCGATTTACCTTACCAATTGAAGCTTGCTTAAAGTACCCAGGCCATTAATCTGTCTGCGGACATTATGTTATTGTTGCCGCTGCTACTGCCGCTGCCACTGGCCAAGTCGAGCCCGCGCCCACTCGTCCACTCTCACTCATTCACTCACTCAGGTTGGGATTACCCACTCAAATGGAAGCACACGCCCCCCTGCCTGGACC